CCCATTTGGACCTATGACCACCACTCCTATTCAATAGCTGTAAGGTAATTATTGTTTAATTGTCTCACAGTATTAGAATAATCTTATTGTGGTGCTTTAACTATAATATACAATAATTATCTAGAGAAAAAAAAGTCGTACATAATCCGGCTATACATAGACACGATATATAGTTCGAATGAAGAATTATTTAATTGTAGGTACCTAATTGTTAATTTGTAAATTGTGTCACACTGACACTGCGACACTTAGCTATCAAAATGATAAAATAAATAAACCTCGACATACAATGCAATTACATTTTTATTTTAATATATTATACATAATTATAATATTTATTTAAATACGGTATGCACAGTACCATTTAATAAAACAACAACGAAAACAAWATATAAATAAATAATTTAAATAGAATGAATAGCAATAATAGTAACAAAAATTCGTGTTAGGATATTGTGTACAAACATAATATATCTTATCGTTATGTACCAAGGTTATTCAACATCAAAACTGAATAATTGTATTGGTTTTGGACTAGACTTATAATTAATTTTTTACATTTATGTCCATTTGCGGGTATTTACATTTATAAAAATATTCTTTATGTACATCATTATTTACACATTATTGGTATAAAAATATTTTATATGTGCGAGTTTATACTGCTGTAATATACATATTTATTTATATGAATGTCGACCGAACTATAACTAGACAAAATAGGTTTTATTTCATACATTAGCACTAAACGCATGCATACACTGCAAATATTTATAGGTATGTTATGTATATAACATAATATGTAGTTCGACTATTTCCAAGGTAAATATTTGTATAAGTACAGATGTACACWCTCAGGCGTTACAATAGATCTGGGTAATGCAAGTGYTGTATGACGTCGAATCGAAATGACGTATAACAACTGCCGYGCAGCCACCGCCCTCATCTACATCCGCATTCATCCACGGTCATTTCCGGGTAGTTCTTCACCACCAGCTTCCCGTCATCGTCCACGTAGAGAAGCGTCTGCGAACTGAGCTTGGTCGGTACGCAGCACGCCCGGGGAACTGACGCCGGGTTGTACGAGTTCATCAGCGTCTGCATGACCGCGTGGTTGGACGCGTTAATATGATTGGCCAACGGGAACGTGCACTCCCCGTGGCAGTAGAACGCGTCGTAACCTGGCGGCGCCTGAATCCAATCGCTGAACCCGACATCCTTGAAGTCCACGTACATCGAATACCGCTGGCAGATCTTCTTCTTTTTCGCTTTCTTCTGCGGCGCTCCCGACTCGTTGGCCGACCGTTTGCTCCGACGCATCATCCCTTCTAACGTACTCTTTTCACCTGCAGAACAACAATTTAACGCAATATTATTATTAGATGATTAAAATTCATWATAATTTACTGCCGTAAAACCATAAAATCGAAATTGTACAACGTAACAACTTTGTTATGTTTCGTGTTAATGTCTAAAATATTCTATTTGTTTCAGTCGGAATGATTCAGTATTATTATTATTATCATACAGGGACGTATTTAGAATTAATGTTTCTTTAATATCTATTAGTGGAGCGGTGAGACTTTCAAAAAATATCAATTACGTCGTCACAATTATTTAACGGCAAAATAGTTATCATTGTAAAATAAACAAAAATATAATTATTTTAACTGGGGCCTGGTATGGCTCGGTGGTTGGCTTCAGTAATTAACGTGTTATGAGGTCAAGCATGATCYGGCGTCACAATTTCACAAGTTCCTAGATGGATAACCACCTGGGCTTTTAGTAACGAATCCTTGCAACACGTACACGTGTTCCTCAACCAACCGTATTATCCCTACACAAAATCATAAATGGCCATAGTTGCAGATGCTTAAGATCATTTAAATAAAAAATTAAATAATGAATAAATTATAGATAAAATGGTCTCTAATATATATATCAACGATTTCCGAGAAACTATGAATATAAGGTAGTTACAAGTMATTTTGAATTTTGAATTGTTTTTAAATGCATTGAGTATTATGCCCTCACATTTCACCAGGTTAAACTATTGCTTATTTTACTTTWTTACTTATCGATGCATCAAATATCAGTATTAAATTAACCATATAGATAGAATGACTTTATTCTTACTTGTTCCGTCATCGGTGTAGACCAGTAGCAATGTCTTTTCAGGTGATAAAAAATCAAACACGCTGAGTAAATGTGTGTGACTACCAGACTCTGTGACGCATTGTACTAGCATACCATGGTTTTCTTTGAAATTGTTTGTCGACAGTCTTTCTATAGCTGGTGTAACGTCAAAACTGATAACTTCTGATTTTGAAACTTTTGACATATTAATTGATTTTGAATCGATAATTCTRTTAATAAAAATATATAAATTTAATGATAATTAAAAATATAGTGGAAGGATTTGTATGATTATATATGTATATATACGCATATAGAAATAATAATCGTTTGCTTATAATCATACCTGAGAATAGGTTTTGATATACCCTTCACGCCAGGTTGGACTATATCATGTATAATCACATGTATAAATTCTTCATTTCGTAGTGTTGTATTGTTTATCATTGTAAAGCGAACTTCAGCAGCTTTAACCTGGTCCCGTTCAGGAATAGAATCTATATCGAATTGTAGCCTATATTTTTTAGATTTAGCATTCATTGGGGCTGATCCTATAAAAACAAAATTATCACAATTATTTTCACTACTCGTCAAATCTATTCTGATAAAATAAATTAGCTCAGGATAGACAGGATAATATTATATTCAATCTAATTATTAATTAGTATCAATCTATTTTATTTTAATTAAACGTTTCAAGGCATAAAACATTAGTTTTAAGTTTATAACTTGTTTGTAATAATATAAATAACAATCATTTATGTAGATGAAATAATATAATATGTACCTACTACCTATACATAAAAACACATTAATTACCTTTGTTGAAAAAGGTCCTAGCAGTATTAGCAGACGATGTGTGCAAGCCAGGAAGAGGAAAATGAGTTGTAATTACATTGTTTTCTTCTAACATTGATTTATACAGCTCCATTGTGGCAGATGGTATTTTCATATTTTTATCTACCACAGGTCTTCGGGTTAAGCCTTAATAATGAAACGATAATTAAATACATTTATTTTCATACAAGCATGCTTGAATTAGTTATCGCAATAATAAATTAATCGTATAAATTTTACCTAGTTTTGTAATTAAATGTTTTTCCAATTCTTCATATCCTGCGATGGCTGCCCAGCCGGTGTTTAGCGTAGCCAACAATATTAGTAAAATAATCATTGTACCTAAATTCAAAACAATCGATAGTAATTTTATTAATATTAACGCTTCACTATTAATACGCGTGTAACATRTTATTTAAAATTTAAATATAACCACCATTAACCACTGTTTTTAAAATATAATATTTTATAAATTATATTTATTTACAATAGGATATTGTGTACATTTTCCACTAGTTGTAAGTTAATAATATTTTGATTAATTTAAAATTTTACATCAAATAAGAGATATTGGATGGATCAGTACTCAATTTTATATGTATAGTTCCGCTATTATTATTATTATTTATTAATTTTTTTTTCTAAGATAAATTGTATGGCCCACTATACTAATATAATATAAAAGACGTAACAGATAGAACTGTCTTTTGGAATAAATTCTGTACAAATTAATATTATTTTTTTGTTCATTAAGTGACGCTATAACTATATATATATTTTATTTTATGTTTATTGTTAGTACAGAAAATAAAATTTTTTTGGATAAATTCAAAATGACCTATTTGTGAATCTAATCATAAAAACAATTTTGATGGTAAAAAGATTTATCTAAGTCAAGTAGTTTATTTTTTAGAATTTTCTGACATGCGTATATTTCTTAAATTATTTACTTATCATATAATATTATCAATTTTTGTCATACGTTAAATAAGCATATTTTTTTTTTTTTCAGGGGATTCTGTTATATACACTCTGGATACAAAAAAGGTCATGGCGATCCATGTCCCATATGGCAATATGGATCCATTGGATCCCTATATACGATCATTATCATTAATCACTGTCATCGATAGTAAGTTGTTATTTGAATTTTATTCTTTAATAGAAGTCTAAAAAAATAACCGAAGTTAAGAATACACATTATGTAAAAAATCAAAAATAATGAAATAGGAACACCTTATAACATTAACGTTATTTTTGTTAAACACTGAAAAACACATTTTGTATATGATATTGTCTACTGTGAGTCTGTGAATACTTTTTTTACCCTGTAAATATGTATATCTAATTTTTTATTGACATTATGCCACGGTAATACGGTTATAATCAGGAAGAATGTAAATAAACAATTTTTTTAATAATTATTATTWTAATATGACCTTAAAAATACAATAAAACAATTATTTAATATTATTTTTTTAAATATAATTAATATTGTAAAATCATTTTTAGTACATTTTTTCTAGGATATTTTTACATTGTTTCATATATATATATATATATATATATATGATGTAGACTATGTAGAATTAATCCACGTGAATTAATGTTATATAATATTCAGAAATTGTAATATTGTATCAATTTTTAATAAATKATATTACCTAATATGATTGACTGCTAAACACACATTATGTATCTATATCTACTGATAACGCTTATCTACCTATTATCCATTTCTATCATTTATCTATGTATATATATATTGAATAGGTCATAAAAATAACGTTTTTTATATAAGCAAGTTAACTGAAAAAAATATTCTTAAACCTAGTGAAAATAAAAAAAAGTTTGTGGTGTTTCAGACTTATATTTAATATGTAGGTACTTCTTATAGTTATAATACCATACATTATACGTTAAAATATCTAACAAATTTCGTAAATTGTTTCCATGCGCTAGGTAGGTACTCGTTGTCTATGCCACATGCCTATGTCGTTTTTAAACTAGTAAACTTAATACTATTTAGTATTAAGTGTACAGCTGGATGCTTATTTTCAAAGACATAAAACATTATTTTGGTCAAGCTATTTTGTTCTAACCATTATTCTACTAGGTACCAATTTATTAAATAATATAATGTCTGTACATACTGATGTGTTGTGTGTCACACCACATAACTATGCAATATCTTTTGTAGGTATAAACTATATACTATAAAAATAAGCCTACTATACAGCATAGCAGTGGCGGCTATAGGGTTTGGTATTAGGTGGGGAAAGGGTGCAAATGTGTCGAAAAAGCACGTACGTACTGGCGTATTACAAGAAAATATAAAATAATGATAATTTACAATTAAACGATATCAAGTACACTATTAACGTTATATTATATACCTATTGTAATATTAAAAGCGTATATTATATTCAAATTAATTGTATTATATAGTCGACTGAATATATATTTTTTTAAATTTTGTAAGATCATAGTTTCCTTGTCTCTCCTCTCCTAAAGCCACCCCATTAGCATATTGCAATTTGGTGTTGTATCATGCTATATAGGTATTATTATGATAAATAGATAAATAAATAACAATCGTGACTTACCTGATATAGCTGAGGATTATGTTATTTGGCCTGATGATGTCGTTTCAGAAACACCATGTGCGTGGATGCGAACGAATCGATTCGACAATAATATGTGTATTATGATAACCGAGTTAAAACATAATATTATTGTGAACGGATGTTGATTGACGCGCACATTGCCGTTCAGCGCACCAACTAGCTGTATATTATAATGYAAAGAGTGCAGACGTTTAACTAGTCCTGCACGCGTACAATGTTATTATAATATTATATTTTTAAACAGAAAAATCGCGATACGGAATAATTGTAATAATATGAAATGTACGTACTGTCTTGTACAGACGCGCGCAATGTTGCTGCAGTACAAATACACGACCGAATCGAACAGGAGATGATACTGAAATGATGACCGCAGGGTCTTCGGAGGGTATTGCCGGTCTATTGTGTACGTATATAAAATATAAACATAATAAAATATACCTATATATCTAAGGCATCACACGTGTGACCGACCGACCGACCGGCCGGCCGCCGCTGGAAATCGGCAGACAAACGGGCGTCCTCTATGGCATGACGTGACGAGCGGGGGGTCGTACGCGTGGTGTGTGAGTGCGTGTGTGTGTGTTAGTWTGGTATGGGGGTGGGGGAGTCGGTGGACAATAGGGCGTGGTTTTCGTATTTCTGGAAACCAGGTTTCTCGGCGGCTGCAGTATAATATATAGGTACCTACCTAATAGTAATATATCTATACACATATGTACCTACGCGGCTACGCACATATACATACATACACAACAAAGACACACACACACACACACACACACACACATATTATTACTTACATGCGGCGTGCCTATAACATGCGTCGTATATTTATCCACGAGTTTAAAAACATCCCTACGGTTTTGCTGCTGTTTCTACGCGATTGTTTTTAAATACGTAAATTTACTATATTATGCTATGTGTAACACAAATCCATATATCCACGATTGCACGATTGTGAGAAACTGGAATACGATTGTATATCTGTCGTATGATATTATTTGAGATTGAAAAAGAAAAGCGGTAAAGATGGACGTGAAAATGTGACCAACATTGCATTATACCTTTAGGTATTAGGTACCTATGTAATGTTATTTACTATTTAGATCTGTACGCATTCCCGTAGACTCGAAGACCAAAATGTCACTCCGTCTTTCAATTATTTCGTTGTAATATTTAACCCTTTCAGCAACATTGTCACATTAAGGGTAATTCGCCATAGATATTATAATAAAAATGTGAAACGAGATTGAAATGATCATATTATTGTATTATATTAACAAAAGTATCTATCAACTATCAATAACAATAAAATAYATATRCTGTACGTATACATTAATATACTAACTAACGAAATAGGTGTCTAATTACGACTTAAGAGTTTTAATTTATCTTAGTAATATCGTTTTGAATTTTTATATTGACTATTTATTCAATAGGTTCTAATTTTAATAGGACTGCTGGTCGGCATAAGTCTTAGAAAGTATATAATATTATATGATGGAAAGGTACTACGATGAATTGGAATTGGAAATATAATATAATCACTAGACAATTATCTAGATGAGTTTTAACTGACAATAATAATAATAATAATACTTAGACGAAATACTGGGTATTTTTATTAGAATATTTATACAGAACGTTATCGTGTAAATGTGTAATACACTATAAACACCGTTCCGTTCGGTTGTTTAGACACGAGACGGCTTGACGCCAATGTCCAGCTGCTTATTCTAATAGTAGGTAAAAGCAGATGTGTAAAGGACAGCGGGCGGTCATGGTTGTATTTTTTTTTGTTCCTTTTTAACATGAAGTACTACAAATGGCGGTAAAAGTCGATTGTGAGGCCGCTGATAACTGTTGGTGCCACGCAGTCTGTGGCTATATCCTATAGTTG